CGTCACCACTGGGTAATTAATGCGCACCCATTTGGCCGGCAGTGACTTTTTCGGGCCGACCGAACTAGTTCCTCACTGTTCCAAAGGCGGGATAGAGGAAAGGAAAATATTTGTAAGCTGTTCGGTGCATTAGGATATCTGACACTCCATTCTCCTGTTTTCCGACCAGTAATGCTTATACTACTGTCTTATCTATAGAAAAATATTTGAGCGTACACCCAGTAAGATAGCGGCGGCGGTGGTTTCAATGTTAAGGCAGTAGCACTGCCTGGATCACTTTTGGCAATATGTTGATATGGCTTCGCAGCTGAGACTTTCCAGAACATTTTGAGTGTTTAAACGATATCCTTCACTTTTCCGCTCCGTACAATACCATTGAAATAACATCAATGTTCTGAATTCTGTTTTGCATGCAGCCATGTTTCAAATTAGCAGCATTGAGACAACATCCAAGTAGGCTTTCAAACTCAGGTAAAATAGGACAGCTGGGCCTTTCAAGTCGTACTGGTAAGGAATTGGGGGAGTCCATCATTTACCTTTATAATGGATTTAATAGATGAGCTTTCAATATAGACAACGGGAGTTTTCCAAAATTGATCAGCCGACATCTATTTTTGGTTATTTCTTCGCAGTCAACATCCATGAAATCAATACCGATCTCCCCAAAACGTGCAGTTGTGGTTATAGAGTAACAGGTGTGCAGCTGGTTGCAATGATGACAACCTAAACACCTTTGGTGCTTTATGACATTGCATTGCGGTATCAGCAACTTTTAGTTACATAATTAGATGTAAAACTCAGGTGTTAAACTGTAGGCATTTGTGGGGTTTCTTTACCTGACAGATCGGATACATGCTTCAGATTCGGGTAGTGCAGAACAGTGCGTTTCTCGTCAAAAGAAGAGGAAAGTGACACTTCTAGTTACCAAGCAGAGTCAACCAGCTCCAGAAGTCTGACGGGATTTTGAGGGAGGGGGCATTATCGATCTATCCATCACACAACACTGATAGCTGTGGCTGGCAAATTTCCAAGAATATGAAAGGTTATCTCGGTGAAGAACGGCAGGAAAATGCATTGTTAACAGTTTAAAGTCACTAACTGTTACTGCGTCATGACATTTTATGGTACAAGTAGTCTTGAAATGTCAGTTGACTCTTGATTGGTAGTAGTTTAATTTTATGATGATCATGAGAACAGCCACTGAGGCGCCACAGTGTATCTGACACTTCCTGGAGAGAAAATGAGACCCCATTCCCCACTCGAGGCTAAATCCCCTGGAACCACACAGAACCAATTCTTTACCAAAGCATTGTGCCTGAAGGACCAGTGTTTGCCTTACACTGTTTACAGCAAACAAATATAGGGAAGTGAAACACTTGAGGCTTCAAAGAGGGTTTGGAAGCACCTTCTTGAAAGTACTGTTCAAGACTCCCAAATCCCACGTTGAAAGTCCGGCTACGCCACTTATCATGATGGAATGTTGCGATGCATCAGTGGTGTGGCGCAATTGGCATGTTCTAACTATGACATATGTTGGTAATTGCACCATTAATGGGTACATAAGGGAATTTGAATGGGTGGTGGAGGGGCACACTTGACGCCGGCCACTTCAAGACGTGCCTAGTTCTAATAATCACCACTGGCAGGGGTGTAGTTCGTATTCAGAGGTGGAGTCCCGCCCTCCCTCTCCTCTCCCCCCCCCCCCCCCAAACCCACACACACACTCACCAACTTTGAGAAGGAAGCGGGACAACACTGAAGAGTTTAATGTGTTTTGGGGCGGGCTGGGTCGGTTCCACTGCAAAACCCCCACCCCCACCCCCACCTCACCTCACTTTGCGCCCCTTCACCATTGGACACTGGCCCAGCACTGACAAGCCTGCATTAATATGCTAATTAGATACAATGTGTGGGCTGTATTAGATTGGGAGAAGGCGTACGTTAACCCAAATCTTGTAAATCTTAATCTTATATATGTAAATCAAATCTTAAACGAGAGTCAGATGATCAATCAACGGAGTAAAATGCAGTTATGACAAGCATAGGCAGTGCACTTTTCCTGAGGCTTCGAGACATCAGAAATTACAGCTTGCCACATTTAGTCGCATTTGTGGGCTAATGAGAACACTACTCCACAAATTTGTTAGTTCGGATTACAGGCGAAGACGGCGTGGGACCGACCACGGGGTAATGTCGGCCACTCCCCTGAGCATAACATTGACAAAGAAAGTTGAGCTGACCTTTTCCGCTGAAGGTTGCGCGGATGACGGACATAGAAGGTGATCTAGATTTCACTGGTTTCTCATGAATAATTTGCCTTTTCTATTTCTGGGTGCGCTGTTGTAAGACCATGACTTCCATGTCCGCGGCTGCCAGGAAATCTGGAAACTATATCCAGTGTGTTGATTACCATCATTGTAGTGCCTGAAATGAAGAACAAAGAAACATTTCAGCGTCAATATGGTCCTTAATAATTTGAGCCATTGGTAAACGCTATTAGAGAAATCACGGTAACGCCGCCCACTTACGCCACAAATGATCGGGCTTACCCCATGCATTAATCGGGTGGCGGTCAATTTGGCTTCCCCACCCCCACCCCGAAGGTTTTTCAGGAATGATTGCCGAACAACGTGGGATGGCTGCGACAAATTTGCATAGCAGTTAACAATTCAATAGCGAATCTTTTGGTGTCAGAAAATTAGTCGTACCTCGTAAGGTCGCTGACCCGTAACAGATGAAACTCAGGCCTAAACCATCAAGGCAGTCTCATAAGGTCACTGATCTTTAATGGGCTTCAGTAAGCTTTTGCTCAGAACAGTTTTCTAGGCTCACGAGGGTTGCACGAGAAAGTCTGAGAGTATCTTGAATATCAATCTGGAGTTTGGCCTTGTTTGACCCTATTTGATCCAAAGGTCATGACCTAAGAGTCTCACATTTTGAAACAAACGAGTTCACATACAGGCCAACACACCTTGTGCATTTGGTGTCGCTAGCTTGCTTAGCCTTTGAGATCTCAAAGGATCAAATTGCCCCCTCCCTTACCGGGAGAAGGATGTTCGGCCGGCCACCCCGGGCGCGTGTTTACGATGCGCACATAAGCTTGTCGAGCTGTCTCGCCAACTCCCAACATTACTTGAGTGATCTATCTAGCCAGGTCTGCCCCGTTTGCGTGCGCTATCTCTTCGCGTCCAAACATGAACCAAGCAACATAAGCCACTCGGTGTGCGTTGGCCAGCCAGTGGATGTGGGTGTCGAGCTTAGATGTAAGTCTCAATGAAAGTTTGCAGCATGGTGTAACTTGGTATACTGCTCTGATGGCTATGATGTGTGGATTTGCGGTAAACCTTTAATAACATGACATTGCACGACAATATATTTAACTGACGTGAACAGTGGAGTATCCAAGAAGGAACTTTTGTTGTCATACAGTACACAATCCCACCGCGCAGCTCGTACGTGGTACAGACCCCGAAACTGCCCGTGTACGGACCACTGAAGAGAGCACGGACCGGTCAAATCAGCTTCCAGTGTGAAGCCAATCCAGGGCAAACAATTACAGATAAGCATGTGGATGATGTTCTTGCTCGAGCTTGGCGCTCCATCGTGGGAAACCAAGACGCTATCACCATGGGATTCAAATGCTAGTGGCGCTCACTCATTCAGCTCGGGTGGCGTGGGGGGGGGGGAGGGGGGAGGGAACCCGAGGAGCTTCGTTCACAACGAGGTTTTGGAACAAAAGGTTCTGAGTGCAGGAGCAGTTTCATGGCCAATAGCGGCCCATGTGGATAGGGCGGTGGCAGCGCCGCTTCAGGCGGACAGACGGTGGCAGCGCCGCTTCAGGTGGACAGACGGTGATAACGCCAGCTCAGGTGGATAGGACGGCTGCCAAGCCAGCTCAGGTGAACAGGGCGGTGACCACGCCAGCTCAGGTGGACAGGAAGGCTGCCAAGCCAGCTCAGGTGGATAGGACGGCTGCCTAGCCAGCTCAGGTGGATAGGACGGCAACCACGCCTGCTCAGGTACACAGAACGGCTGCCAAGCCAGCTCAGGTAGACAGGGCGGTGACCACGCCAGCTCAGGTGGACAGGACGGCTGCCAAACCAGCTCAGGTGGACAGGAAGGCTGCCAAGCCAGCTCAGGTGGACAGGAGGGCTGCCAAGCCAGCTCAGGTGAACAGGACGGTGACCACCCCAGTTCAGGTGGATAGGAGACTGCCAAGCCAGCTCACGTGCGCGGGACGGTGACCTCGCCACATCAGACGGACAGGACGTTGACCACATCAGCTCAGGTGGACAAAACGGTGACCACGCCAGCTCAGGTGGACAGGACGACTGCCAAGCCAGCTCACGTGGATAGGACGGTGACCTTGAGACTTCATTGAGACTTAAATCTAAGCTCGACACCCACATCCACTGGCTGGCCAACGCACACCGAGTGGCTTATGTTGCTTGGTTCATGTTTGGACGTGAAGAGATAGCGCACGCAAACGGGGCAGACCTGGCTAGATAGATCACTCAAGTAATGTTGGGAGTTGGCGAGATTCCCCGCTGGCGGGCCTACCCCGGAAAAAATTAATGCCTTACGAAACATGACAAAACCATACCATATATCAAATAGCAGTTTTCGTGTTTTTTGACAAATACAGCAGGACCAAGGTTTGCACCTACATATAAATATTGAATATACCTTGAGTAGTTTTCAAGACAAATCCGGAAAGGACTATGGAGTGGAGGCCACTCCGGGCTCCCCCAATGCTTACCCAGTGATAATGTGCCAACGAGATGCGATTGGAGTTCTGCAATTATTGCAATCATTTATTGAATAGGCGAATAAGATCCTGTCACCTCATGTGTTATCATAGGGCCTTGCATCAGCCCACAGCATGCCACCGCGTGCTCACCTTTGCCAGTGACGGACCGGTCAGGGGTTGATGTGTCGCGTGAATGAGTCATTAGGTGCATATATGAGCCGTCAGCAAGGGTCATCAGTCAATGTTTTCCTTCCTTTCGGGTAGTGAACAGCGCCGCTCAGGTGAGTAGTGTCAAACCACATGATTTTAGACAATACCTTATTGGGGATCTAAGAAATGAAAATTGCTTTCGGTATCGACTTTTGTAGCATGCAGCGTTTTTCGAGCGCAATGAAAAGCGAGCAAAGCTTACAGGAAAGCTATACATGCTGCTAGGTCGATGGGAAGGATGATATCGGATGCGATGCGGAGGGCAAATGTATCCTTTTTGTATCCATCCTACCAGGGCATAATGGCGTTTATGCACGCTTTCAGCAGGAAAGCAGAGTTTTCCACGGGGAAACACATTTTTCAGCACTGGTGTGACATGAGCCAAAACCTTCAAACTAGCCACTGAAGTCATACTCTCACAGTTGAGAACTAATGCATTACCCTTGATCTTCTACCAAAATGTCAAACGAGATCACGAAATAGCTTTTCTGGCATTGCAAACAAAGTATGTGCTACATTCTCAGACTTATAGCATTTCAAATGGTATGCAGCAATTGTATAGCCATGGCAGTTTTATAGAACATGCAGAGCTTTTATAGAACATGCAGAGCTTTTATAGAACATGCAGAGCTTTTCTAGAACATACAGAACGCTTTGGGTAAACATCACTGACTTAAAGACTGCACGGGCTTTATCTCACAAAGCGCAAATAACATCGGGCAAAAAGCTTCACCATATGCCTCTACAGAACAGCTTACGTCAAGCTGTGCTGTTACATGGGGTGTTATAAACCAGTCGACCTAAGGTCAAAACCTTGAAACTGATCCCATGGCTCAAGTTACACAGCGTGTTGTGTCATATCCCACAGATCCTGCCTTCATTCTATCGTCACTTCTGGAAGTGAACAGGACCGGACATCAACTACAGGTTTATTTCTTCTCCCAATCGACACTACGAGGCCATGACGAGGCGCAATACCGGTGAGAGCTGGCACACGCCGCTCGAGTGGTTTGACGAGCGGACTGACTCACTTACATATCAATGTAGATTTCTGGGTTGTCGATATACATACATAAAGGTACAAAGCCACCAACAGACATGCATTTGTCTCATTAAGATGACCATATTCCTGTTTCCTTGGAGCCGACCCGTTTTATCACGCGGACGTTAAAATCGTTCACATGTTGAATAATCTGTGGGCTACGAAATGCTCCACGGATTGAACTCGGCGGATTAGGACTGAACTGGGTATAATATTACATGATACTACAGGAACTTGAACAGCTTTGATGGTCGGATGGCAATGTTAACAAGCTTGCTGTAATCCTCAACTCTACGTTTTACTTTTCCACAAGACGCAGAAATCCATACAAAAACTATCGTTTCAACTCCAGGAGTTTAAACAAAGCCCGAAATATCGCTGAACTTACTCTTTGTATTTGGCCGCAACACCACATAGGAAAAGGCTGGCTCGATTAATGCATCCCTACTGCGACCTTGTCTTCCATGGACCATGTAAGGCAAGCACTTTGGAGAGTTATTGCCATCTAAACGGAAAGTTGCAAGACACAAAGAGTTTCTCACTAAATAAAGGGAATTTCTCAACGTTTTGCGTTCTCATTCCCAAAAATGATTTTGCGCAGATCCCACCTATTTACAACGACGTGAGTGCGTTTCTTTTACGGTGCAATTGCATCTTGTAACAGAAGCGCTGTTGGAATATGGGTTCACACATATCAGTATGCCATACATTTGTGTCATTGGTAACTGAAAAGAACGGAAGTTTGAGGTTGTCAAATAGAAGGGATGTTGTTTAAAGCCTATCTGAAATTTCAGGATTTTATTGAACTATATCCTGGAAAGGTAATTATAAAGAGGTCTTCTACTCATAATCCATGCGGCGGTGATCGGTAACAAGTGAGGCGATAGGTGATGTTATGAGCAATGCACCGGAGCGGCCAGCGGTGGTGGTGGTGTCAACCTCGGCAAACTTGTATTTGTTGTCATGGCCTGCCAACCATCACAGAGCAATGTTATTCTTGGCGGCTTTATAGCTCATCACCAGTTAACCAACGCTAACTCTGTTGCGGTCCTATCGTACCCCGCTAGAACAACCGAGGCCGCACATCGCTGCCGGCCATCGCCAGAAATGAGACTTGCGTGGGTTTCTGTGAGACCTGAGATGATCCGCCTTCTCAGGCGCCTGCCTGGCGCCACTCTTGCTGCTGGCCACGCTGGGAGGCGCCTCTGTGCCCACTGGCCTGGACATGAAGCTGCTCAGGGAGGTGACGTCGAATCCGATGAACAACCATGTGATCTCGCCGTTCCTGATGTCGCTGCTGATGTCGCAGGTCTGGCTGGCCGCCGAAGGCACAACCAGAGCCGAGGTGAGGCCACAGATGATGGATGTTCAGTGAGGCGTGCTATCTGCACTGGTTCGAGGCACATGTGCCAGCTCACCTTGCAGAGGACATAAAACATGATTTATCGCCCTGTGATCTTTGTTGATGAAACACGGAGGAGAGATATGACATTGTTATGTCTGTCTACTCCACCCAGATGACGCCTGTGCTGGGAATGTCCGGTCCAAACGACAGATCCTTCCTCGACGGCTACCGCTCGGCCTTGGCCGTCTTGTCTGGAACCAGTGACGGCGTCAGGGCGTCAGTGTTCAGCAGGATCTATCGCAAGCGCAGCTTCAGCGTGCGCCGCACCTTCAGCGATTTATTGGCGCGTTACTACGGAGCCGGAGTGGAGGTGCTGCCCAGCAACGCCTTGAAGGCTGCTCAGGTCATCAACAACCAGGTGTCGGTGGCAACGCGCGGACACATCAAGGACCTGGTGTCAAGTGCCGACGTCAGGAATGCTCAACTGGTGCTTTTAAGCGCCGTGTATTTCAAGGGCACTTGGCTTTATGGCTTCAAGAAGCACGGGCAGAAGCCGTTCTTGACGTCGGATGGTGATCGGCGGGTAGACATGATGATGGTGGAGGCAGAGTTTGGTATTGCCGCCCGACCACACTTTGATGTCGTTGCGTTACCGTACCAAAACCAAGATTACAGCTTGCTGGTGCTGCGCCCGCGCAGTCGCTCCATGGCTGGCGTGACCCTGATGCGGAAGTCTCTCGACGGCCTGAACGTGACCCGGCTACACAGTCAGCTACGTCAGCGAACCGTGCGTGTGGTGATGCCGTCGTTCAAGATCGAGGGTCTCTATGTGATGCCCTTCTACATGAGAAGCCTGGGCATCAAGCGGATTTTCCAACGGGGGGCAAACTTCAACGGCATATCGTCGGACAAGACCTTTGTCAGCAACATCATCCATAAGGCGGTGATGGAGGTCAATGAGGAGGGCACGACAGCTGCGGCGGCGACAGTGATAATAGTAGCAAGAATCGGGATTCAATCCGCGACCTTCGCTGTAGACAGGCCATTTTATGTCATTCTCTACCACAAACGTGAAAAAGTCACCTTGTTTGCTGGACTAGTAGCTAATCCTTGAGAGCACAGCATGATCATTGGGTACGCCTTTGTTTCATGTGCATCCGCCATCGTTGGTTTTAATCACATTTGTTTCAAACCGAAAGGGTCGCCTGACATTTTTGCGATTAGAGTGGATGCACCGAAAATACGTAGACGTATCCGACTGCCAATAAAAGAGGCCTTTTGAAGGGATCATTTGTGTGCAAGAGCGCCGACTTCATGAGAGTTGAACGGGTCGCGTACACGGCCTGTTTTCTGAATTATGCAAACGGTACTTGACTTCATCGTCTCACATGTATCCTGCTCTCGCCAAAAAGTCTCCCTACAGAAGCAATGGATGCGTATCAGCATGGGCCTTTGCAAGACTCTAGAAAGACTCTACCTGCCATTCAAACAGCGATTCTTTGATCACCCTTGGTCTCTTATTATCCACGTTGTAAGGGCTTGTCAGCGTGGTGACACGTTGCACCATGATCCCTTCTTTGGATACTGCGACAACTGCCAAGCTGTGGTTTATTCAGGCAGCAGTACACCGTCGAACTAGACACCCAGTCTGCAACACATGCAAAGGACTCATTAGCTGGCAACTAGCCATACACCGCATGCAGCCCTGGGAGCTGGCATAAGGGCACGCAGCATGCAGCAACGAGAGCGTCCATGACCACATGCACCAAGCAACCACCATGCAAGCCACTACCGCATGCGACACCAACAGTACATGCACAACCGCCAAGGCATGCACATGCAGCACGTCACAATACCAATACTGTGGATTCCAGACCTGCGACGGAAGCCAACGCACACACCTGAGAAGCATCTGATACAGGGTCAGCAATAATGCAGTATCTCCTTCTCTGAAGCACACTTCATATAATTAGGTTTGCCTGTGGCCGAGACGGGGATCGGTCCGCAAGCTCCATGAAAACGAACATAAACTCCGACATGTGTTTGAAGTCCTTGACGAGAACAACTTCAGTCTACAAACAAGGATTAAATTTCCTACAAGATTTGCGGGACATAATTGTATGGGGGAGGGGGGACAGAGACCGCACGTCGGGGACGCACACCATGGAAGGAATGCGAAGTTTGCCTTATGGTCACAGAGTTTCTCACGGCCTGTGTTGCGGCACAGCCGTGTGGGTGATAAAGGCAGTGAAAGTTCAACTCGTGCCTGGAAACTTTAGTGCCCGATGCATTAGCACAACATTTCAAACAGGTTCAAGCATTATCTGTGAACTAGGTCCGGACGGTGCATAATTACACGGAAACACGGAAGAGAGATGTGACACTGCGTGCCTGTCTGGCTCCACCCAGATGACGCCTGTGCTGGGAATATCCGGTCCAAACAACAGATCCTTCCTCGACGGCTACCGCTCGGCCTTGGCGGTCTTGTCGGAGAACAGCAACGGCGTCACGACGTCAGTGTTCAGCAGGATCTATCGCACGCGCAGGTACAGCGTGCGCCGCACCTTCAGCGACCTGCTGGCGCACTTCTACGGGTCTGGAGTGGAGTTGTTGCCCAGCGGCGCTAGGAAGGCCGCCCAGGTCATCAACAACCAGGTGTCGGCGGCAACGCGCGGACGCATCAGAGGCCTGGAGACAACTGCCGACCAAGCTTCCTTCTCGAAATTTTGCGCTATGTTACTTCGGGCGTATTGGTTACGTGAGAAGCAAAGCCTCACACAAACATCGACGCCCCCAAATATTTGACCGATGGCGAGGTACTCTTTAGCGGTGTGGGCTCGCAACGCAGGCTTCGCCACAGAGGGGAAAGGGGCGCATCCTTGAATGTTACAGGATCACGTCTATGGTTGCATGAAAAAACGGCACGCATAAAACTAAGCCTCTCTCTTGACATTTGACACATGACGGCGTTCTCGGCTGACACCGAGGTGCCCACATTGTTCCAAGCCGTTGCCGTCGTGCAAGGTCCCGTCCTTGGCACTGTCGTCGCCGGCACGCACGGCCGGCAAACAACGCAACGCCAGCGCACCACCAGATGTAGTCCCGGCCTTCGAGCGGCCTTCTCCGCGGGGAAACTGTGGTCCAACCCGTGCCCGTTCGGTCTGACCGCGTCCCCCCCCCCCCCCGGACAGCGCCAACAATCACTCCTGGGGTGTTATTCGGAGGCGGTGTGATCACACGCCGCGCGCTCCGAGCTCGCGCGGCCTCACCGCTGCCCCGTGCCGTCCGCGCGCTGCCGACTCGCGCGTCCTCACCGCTGCCCCGTGCCGTCCGGCAGGTACCATGTCTCGGCTCTCGCTCGTCGCGCTCAGCGTCCTGCTGGTTGCCATAGTGACGGCCGACATGCCGTACCAGCTGTCGAGCGGCTTTGAAGACATCGTGCCTAACCTGGTGGAGACGTTCACCTGCGAAGGCCGGCCGTACGGCTACTACGCCGACGTGGCCAACGACTGCCGGCTCTTTCACGTCTGCGTGCCCGTCGTCGATGATGTTGGAGAGGTAAGCGGTGCTGCGGGAGAAGCCCCTGCCCTGGCACAGCTGGTGTGCCCGCCAACGTCTGAAGCCTGAGCTGTGGCTGGCGCTTGGTGGACAGCACGGATCTGCGGTGGCTGGAGTGGATCCCGCTAATCTTGCAGCCGACTTTGGTGACGTACCTAGATCGCAACAATACTGTTCTGGCTCGCAGGCTCAAAGAGATCCGGTCACCGTGAAAAAAGAGTTAAACGAGCTCGTGGTAAACCCGAAATGGTTATGCCTTTGCGGCCCTATGCCTGCATTCATGAATGACTCAGAACAAGGAGCGACATATGGCAGCCGTCCCGAAGCTAATTTTGATGGTAGCCCTGTGTGCTGAAAACCATGTTCCATGCATTTAACATTCATTTCGATGGTCAAGAAACACGCTGAGCTGTGATGATACAGCGGCGCATTTGACGCATTGTGTTAGACCGTTCTCATCACCCGGATCATGCTCAGATTTGGGGAGGCATGAAGGCAGTTTCTTTGCTGGATACCTCTCCAGACACACACGCACGGCACGCACATTACATACGCACAATTACAGATACGCACAGCTCAGATCAGAGGTCCTTTTTGGGAGTCATATTTCAGATCAGAACTCCTTATTTGTCTAGAATGTCCCAGGGCCCCTCACATGTCACCCTCCTCGGACATGACGAAATGCCTAGTGGGACGTCTTGGGGACCCTATCGTGAACACGAGCTATGTTGCGATTCCCCGAGTCCACCGATAGCTTAGTAAAAGACTTTCGGCAGCTGTGTTGTGATACTTTCAAACTAAAGCTCATTTTTACAGTTCCGCTGGCCTCCTTTTGTATCCGGTCCCTTGCAAGTCCGAAGAAATCGAACATGCTCAAGTTTCTGCCCAAGGGTTCTTTCAGAGCAAAGAACACTTACATCCTTTTGATATTGGTGAATACATATATATATATATATATATATATATCTATATATATACATATATATATATATATATATATATATATATATATATATATATATATATATATATATACGGGTTGGTTATGTCATAGCTAGTTGGGCAAGGCTATGGACGAGGACAGAGGGCGCCACCCTTTGCGGAAGGTGAGAAAACACCAGCAGTTCACGGGTAACTATAGCTAAAATGGCAAGGTTTGTCGATTCGTTGACTCTGGCATAAATGCTAGAGCCAAACGCTATTTCGATACAGGTGATGAGATTCCGGACATTACTGCTCACGCCGAACATATCACGTATCCGAAACAGGTATTCACAGCTCCTATGCGTAATCGCATCTGATGAATGCAGAATCATACCCAGGTAGTTATCCACTAACCAAATTGGCAGGCTTGGTGGTCATCGGCACATTATGCGAGGGAGACGTGAC